GCAGCTCCCAGTGCTGAGCCAGGCCCTGTGAGCGCCTGCTCTGCTGCTTCTGGTGATTGCCTCGAGCACTGCTGGTCCAGGGCTGCTTGGATGGCACCGAGGGGTTGGTGGGCACTGGAGGAGTCTGTGGGTCCAGAGCTCGGCGGGCATTGTCCCCACACCTCCACCTGGACACTCATCCCACAGAGCTGTTGGCAGGAAGGACGGGGGTCCCCTGCTCTCCCCGTGACTCCCCTCTCCCGTCCCCTCAGTGCATGAGGCTGGTGTTCGCCCAGGAAACCCCCAGCGCCTGCTCTGACGCCCGAGGCAGCGCCGGGAGCCATGTCGGGTTCCTACGATGATTCGGCATCGGCCGCYGAGGAAACAACCGACAGCTTCTGGGAGGTGAGTCCCGGCCATCTTCTCCTCCCACAGAGCCCCTGCTGCTGTCCCTGCACCCCAGGGTGTCCCCTGGGCTGGGGGCTGCCCTCCCCTCCCTGCCTGACAGCGTCTCTGCTGCGGTGTCTCCGTGTCTGAGCTGCTCTTCTGGAAATCTCAACCTCTGAGGGGCACAGAGCGAGAGTTGGGACTGGAAGGAGCTGGCTTTGAGCAGCCCCAAACCAAAACTCCACTCCTGCACCCCCAAATTGCCCAGTGCTTCCCCCGTGGCCCCAGTGGGGCTGAGCCAGGCAGGACAGTCACAGCCTCCCTGTCCCACTCCCCATCCCAGGTGGGGAACTACAAGCGCACGGTGAAGCGGATCGACGATGGACACCGGCTCTGCAACGACCTCATGAACTGCGTGCACGAGCGGGCCAAGATCGAGAAGTCCTACGCCCAGCAGCTCACCGACTGGTCCAAGCGGTGGAGGCAGCTCATCGAGAAAGGTACCCTGGCTTACCCAGGACACCTGGGTGCACTGTCACAGCTTCACCTGGCAGAAATGAAGGAGGTGAGGGCGCTGGAGTGACCCCCAGCTGTCCCCTCGGCCCCCAGGTCCCCAGTATGGCAGCCTGGAGAAGGCGTGGGCTGCCATCATGACGGAGGCGGACAAGGTGAGCGAGCTGCACCAGGAGGTGAAGAACAGCCTCCTGAACGACGACTTTGAGAAGGTCAAGAACTGGCAGAAGGACGCCTACCACAAGCAGATCATGGGRGGCTTCAAGGAGGCCAAGGAGGCTGACGATGGCTTCCGGAAAGCCCAGAARCCCTGGGCCAAGAAGCTCAAGGAGGTGAGGGAAGCACAGCGTGTCCTGGGGCATCCCTGCATCCCCAGGTCCGGCTCTGTGTGCCCAGTCTGGGCTGGGAGAGACGTATGGCACCTCCCCAGAGGGCAGAGGGGTGGGCAGGAGGATGTGACCGCTACTCTGATGTCCCTTCCCTGTCYTCCCCGCAGGTGGAGACAGCCAAGAAAGCCTATCACCTGGCGTGCAAGGAGGAGAAGCTGGCCATGACCCGGGAAGCCAACAGCAAGGCGGATCAGTCCAACACCCCCGAGCAGCAGAAGAAGCTCCAGGACAAAGTGGAAAAGTGCAAGCAGGACGTGCAAAAGGTGCGAGCTGCTGCCCCACGGTGGGAAGGGAAACCTGTGGAAGTGGCCACCACATCCCTTTCTCCACCATCCCTTCCCATTTTCCCATCTATGTTCTCCTGGAGAGGGATCAGGACTTGCAGGCAGTGAGCTGGGCAGGGATTTACTCTGCTTACTGGGCTGATTCCACCCACTGAGGGTCTCGGTTCAATTTGGGCTCCCCAACCTGGTGAGCCCCAAACCAGACCTCTCAGCACCCAGAAACGGCCTCTGAGGTGCTCGAGGTACAATCAGGGTCCCTCCTGCCCCTTTGCAGACTCAGGAGAAGTACGAGAAGGTGCTGGACGAGCTGAACAAGTGCACCCCGCAGTACATCGAGAGCATGGAGCAGGTTTTCGAGCAGTGCCAGCAGTTTGAGGAGAAGAGGCTCAACTTCCTCAAGGAAATGCTCCTGGACATCAAGAGGCACCTGAACCTGGCCGAGAGCAGCAGGTAGGGACAGGCAATTCCGGCCAACACATGGTCACCAAGAGGTACCAGAGCGGCAGGAGGCTCTGCAGGAGCCTGGCGCCCCCCGGTGCCTCGGAGGACACACAACCCTGKCCGCAGGTGACACAGCCAGGACATGTCCCTGTCCCTCACTACCCCCAGGGGTCCCCCCCGACCCGCAGCCCCCCAACCGCGTCTCTCCCTGCAGCTACGCCAACGTGTACCGGGAGCTGGAGCAGACCATCCGCCTGTCGGACGCGCAGGAGGATCTGCGGTGGTTCCGCAGCACCAGCGGCCCCGGGATGCCCATGAACTGGCCCCAGTTTGAGGTGAGGCTGGGCGCCCCRGCTGGGTGCTGGCAGCCCCKCGGGGCAGCCGGGCGCTCAGGGAAYRGTGGCTCTGTGCTTGCAGGAGTGGAACCCGGACCTGACGCACACGATAACGCGGAAGGAGAAGCAGAAGAAGGGCGAGGGGGCGGCCCTGACCAACGCCAGCAGCRCGGGCGACGCGGGGGCTCAGGCGGGCGAGCGTGGGAGGTGAGGACCGGCACGGAGGGGAGGTGCCATGAGAGGCACGGCCTTTGCCCGTGCGAGCATTTGGGGACATTGGCTGTCCTCGGTGACAGCTGCCCCTCGCTCTCCTCCCCTGCCAGCGTGAGCAGCCATGACCGTGGGCAGACCTACAGCGCCGAGTGGTCCGATGAYGAGGGCAGCAACTCCTTCAACACCAGCGAGGCCAACGGTGGCACCAACCCCTTCGACGAGGAGTCGGCGGGGAAGGGCGTCAGGGTGCGGGCTCTGTATGACTACGACGGGCAGGAGCAGGATGAGCTCAGCTTCAAAGCAGGTACGGTCCCTGGTTGGTGCCGGGTCAGGCAGGGCTCATCTGCTGGAGCTGTGGCTGTGAAATCCCTCAAATTATTCCTGAGTTGGCCCAGCCCTTCAAAAAGTTGAGCTGTCAGAAAGGGGAAGGCAGAAGCTGAGCTCAGATGCGGAAGGGAGCGGAGTGATGTGGGGACAGAGCACATGAGGTGTCGTGGGTCACCCCTCACCTTTCTATTCTACAAATTAATGTGCTCARAGTCAGTCCTGCAAATCCCCAGCAGCTCCASCCCRGGRAGAAAYAGAGCAGGGGAGAATTTCCAGCACYTGCAATGAGCTCTTGCCTTCCACCTTCCTCTCCAGGTGACGAACTAACCAAACTCGGTGAGGAAGACGAGCAGGGGTGGTGCAAAGGGCGCTTGGACAACGGGCAGCTGGGGCTGTACCCCGCCAACTACGTGGAGGCAATCTAAGTCTTGTGGTGTGCTCCTCGTCACCGTCAGCAGATAAATCCACCCTCCGTTGTCTCCATCTCTCCACCAGCCAACCAGCCATTCTGCCGTCTGGTCCTTCACTCCTCACACTTAGAGATTCAGACATATTTTCCGACCAAGCTTTTATTTTTTTAAGAGTTGTCTCCGAAGAGTATTTTGCATAGTCGCTTTCTTCTAAGATAACGTGAAGCGAAAGATGACGTTGTCCGTTCGTCTACGTTAGTTGAATTTCTTTTTTTTTTTTTTTTTTTCTGAGCGAAAAGCCGATACCTCAAGATCTTAAAGCCCAACCAGTGAGAGCTCCTGATTGGTTGGTTTTTAAAGATACTGAAATCATGAGCCGCCTTCTGATTGGCTGGAACTGTTCCGAAACGCACGGCGCCGAAGTTCCTGGGACCAACCAAATTCATCCCAGAAAACCGAGAGGGATTGGAGTCTGACTCCGTTGGTTTTTTTGATTTTTTTTTTTTTGGTGTTTCCATGCTCTGCCCAGTTCATCCTCCCAACCCGAGGACGGGGACGAACGCCCCCTGCAGCCCCGCGGCCATCCTTGAGATGCCCAGGTGAGGTGGGACCGGCCCCGCCGTGGAGCTTGATGGCATCTCCTCAGCTTCCTCCTCCTCCTCCTCCTCCTCCCGGGGCAATCGGAGGCTCCCGAGCCGGTGCCCGGCCTGTGCTGCAGGGAGCAGCATCGCCCTTCGTGTGGGCAGCATCCAACGCACACCAGATCCGGGCCGGGTGGCCCTAAAGTCCAGCGCTGTCCKGAGAAGGACCCGGCACAGCCCAGCGCTGCTGGAAGAACCTTCACACCCAGCCTGGGATAGCGGGGACCGCCTCGGGCACTGCGGGGGAYGGTCCCCATCCGCCCTTTCCTCAAGAGAGGCGGGAGCAGAGCAAGGACGGGGGATGAGCATCGTCCACAGCCTTGCAGGGCGCCGGCAGAGCTGCAGGAGGAGGAGGAGGAGGCRGAGGAGGGCGGCTCAGGATACCCAACCCAGGCAGAGCAGCGAAGACAGCCGAGAGCAAGACCCGCCAAGGCAGGGGAATGGCCGCAGGCTTTGCCCTTTGCTTGTCCCCAAGGAGCTCTACCCTTCCTCCCCCCGGCTCTGCCCCCCGGCCCCGCATCTCCCGCGGCTGCTGCCACCCAGCACGGCCACCCCACCCCCAGCCCCCGCCTCGGGTGCATTTGCCCTCCCGAGCTCTTCCCTACAGATCATCTCTCATTTCTTTCCATACCATCACCCTTAGCAGCATCAACGCCATCGGCTTCCCGCACGCTCCTCCCGCTCCTCTCCTGCCCCCTCTGTTGGTTCGTGAATTTTTTGGCCCCAGGGATCCTCGCGGATGCAGGGGAAGCACCGTGTGCTGGGCACGGTGGGCGGGTGCCGCCCGGCCCCTGCCAGGCACCGGGAAAAAAAAAAAAAAAAACCCACAAAGTCAGAAAAGACCCAACCGACCACCTGTCTCAGCAATGCACCCCGGTTTTTGTACATTGATTGTGTAATTTAAGAAGTATATATATAATATATATATCTCTCGTGATTGTATTTCCGTGGATACAACAACAAAAAGCAGCAAGAGAAAATAACCGAGCTCTGTCAGCGTCCTTGGCTCTGGGGTCTCCTTTGCTGTGCGTTCGTCTCACCCCCGGGTAGCGACAGCCCCACCCCAAGGTTTTGGGGTGCGGTGGGATGGGGGGTTCTGATGCACTGCTGGGGGCTGGGGGAGGAGGGAACAACCCCTGCCTTTGGGGACTCCTGTGCCACTGCCGGACAAGGCTTTGGGCAGCCCCAAAGCTTTTGGGGTGGGGCTGGAGGTAACGCAGGTTTTGGGGCCATTCCCAGCACCARCCCTGAGCCAGCACTCCCCTGACCCTGCAAAAGCCCTGCCACAGCAGTTGATGTCACCTCCTGCCCTCCCCACCCTGCCAGAGGAGCTGTGAGGGGGACACGAGATCTGGGGCACCCCCGGCCCCTCCTCCCGCTGCCCCCGCACCGGCTGCGTCGGGCRCGCACAGCAAATCACAAGACACGTTTTGCTTTTTTCCATTGTTTTCCCCCMATTTTTTGTTTTTCCATCCCCTTTTCTGAAGGCCAAGGCAGTTTTCCTCCTTCCCCTGCTCCTCGCCACCCTCCATCCCTCCAGCTGGGATGTGAGCAGGGCTGGCCGGAGGAACAGAAAGGAAAGGCAGGAACCGGCACCGGCAGCTTTTTTAAGGAAAAAAAATTCAAAAGACCAAGAACCAGGTGTTTTTCCTTTTAAGCTCCCACAGAACATCCCTGGGAGGCCGGGCCACCCCTCAACATTTGAACCTAAACCACAACTCGTCGCCAGCCAAAACCAAAAAGCAAATAAACAAATAAAAAACCTATAATATAAAAGATCAACATTGCCATGCAACTCTGACTGTGGTGCAACGAGCAGGTGAAGCAATTCCCAGCTCTCTGCCCCAGTCCAGCCTCGGTGGATCACACTCTGGGTTTATTGTCCAGAGGGAAATGGCAAAGCTGCCACCTCCATTTCCCCAAACTCCGGAATCAGGCAGTCCGAGTGAAATCTGAATCAAGGGAAGAGCTCTGTGCCAGGGCACGGAACCTGGGCTCTTAGGAGGACTCTGGTGGCCCCATGCACAAGGATGGGGGACCCAGTTTGGGGGACCCCCACTGTGCACAGCCCCACACCCACATTTACAGTTGATCTTTTGGCAAAACTCCTTCTCTCAGCCCCAAATCCTTGCGGAGAGGAGAAGCTGAGTGTGTCCTGGAGTGAAAAACAAAGGAGGATGCAGCTGTCCCAAGGGGTGCCCRGGGGCACAGCATCCTTGGGTGGTGCCAGGCTGCTCCCACAGGGTTTGGGACAGGTCAGCACGGGTGCCACCATGAGCAGCACTGGGTGTCCCTGTCCCGGGTGTTGTCCCTGTCCCTGGGGGTGCCATAGTCCCGGCTCATGCCTTTGTCCTCAGCTTTGTCCTCCCTGAACAGTGGCTGGGGTGAAGCCACCTGCAGCCAGAACCCAGGAGGAAGGAAAGGAAGGGGGACATGCCCGGCCACCATGCCCACCGTTGCCAGCAGGTCCTGGCAGGGGCARCCTCGCACCCCAGCCAGGTCCTTGCAGGGTCTCTGTGGCCGAGGGAGGCGGCGAAATTCCCCCGCCCCTCCCGGGGCTCAGCCGGTCCTGCCGCCGCTCACACCGGGTGCACGAACTGGTAGACGAGGCGCTGGGAGATGTCGGGTTTGCGGATGATCCCTTTCTTGTAGTACTGCCGGATGGAGCGGCTCAGTTTGTCGTAGTTCATGGCCGGGCGGTTCTTGCGGATGCCCCACAGCCGCGCCACCTGCGCCGAGTCCTCGATCTTGAAGATGCCTGGCAGGAGAGCGGGGCACGGGGGGTTACTGCTTGTCCTGCCCTCCCTCAGCCCCCCAGCGCCCACTCCGGAGCGCCCCCCGCCCACCTTTGTCCTTGTTGAGCCAGCGGATGAAGCGGCCGTAGTTGTGGGGTTTCAGCAGCAGCTCCTTGAGGAACTGCCAGAGGTGGATGGGTTGGCCGGCGCAGGACGAGTCCACCTCGCTGTCAGCCCAGCTGGTGTCACCTCCTGCCACGGGAAGGGACGGGTGAGAGAGGGAGGGGACAAATCTCGCTGCTCTGCACCGTCCTGGGACTCCATCGAGGAGTGGCGGGCTGAGCGCAGGCGCTGGGGCTGGGAAGCTTTGCCTTCTCCTCCCTTGGAGCAAGAGGGAGAGCGGCTCGGTCCAGCCCTTGCGCAGCCCGCAGGGTGCAGGGGGTGTGGGACGGGGCCACTGAGGAACTCGTGGCCATTTCCCCTTCGCTGCACCTTGCAGAGAGCCCTGGGGCAGAGCGAGCGAAATCACACAGATCCCACAGCGGTGYTGCTCCAGTGCGCCGGATAATTGCAATTAATTACCCCTCCAGYACCCCGGACCTGCCCGAGGCGGGAGCGGGGGCAGCGGAGCTGAGCCCCCACAGAACTCACCGCAGTATCTGACATCTCCAGGGGCAGCCTTCTCCTTCATCCAGGCGGCTGGAAAGRAGGAGCGGGGGATCAGGGGGCGCTGATCCTGCCGGACGGCATCGCCCAACCTCCCCAGCTCCCTCCCGGCCCCGGGCACCCACCAGACTTCCAGATGTCCAGGTGGGCGTGCAGGATGTCGCCGCAGCCGGGCGAGCGCTGGCAGAACTGCTCCTCGGACATGGCGCACAGGTCCTTCCCCGACAGCTCCTGGAAGGATTTYCCGATCTGCGGCAGCCGGTACTGGTGCTCCGTCCACAGGATCCACTTCTGCACGTTCCCGGGGCTCCAGTCCGTGGGGTCTGGGGGCGGAGGGGGTCAGTGTGACCGGCCAGGAGCCACCCCCTCCTCCCACGGTGGAGCAGCCGCGCTTCYCCAGACCCTCACAAACGGCTGCAGCCCCCAGGAACCATCCCCTATTCCCACGGGGAGCAGCCGCGCCCTCCCCCCCGACCCCATAAGCGTCTGTATCCCCTCAGGAACCATTTCCTCCTCCCGTGATGGAGCAGCCGCGCTCCTCCAGACCTCATAAGCGTCTGCATCCCCTCAGGAACCATCCTCTCCTCGCACGGGGAGCAGCCGCACTCCCCCAGACCCCATAAGTGGTTTCAGCCCCCAGGAACCATCCCTTCTTCCTCCCCCGACCCCATAAGCGTCTGCAGCCACCAGAAACCATCTCTCCTCCCGTGGTGGAGCAGCCGCGCTCCCCCTGACCCCATAAGTCGCTTCAGCCCCCCAAAATAAGCGTGGCTTCGGCTCCCACGCCAGCGCACCCCTCCCCGGGCGCACCCCGGGGGCTCCCCCGCACCTGCGGCGATGTTGAGCAGCTTGCAGGCTGTCTCGATGTCCTTGAGCACCTCGCCCACCACCATGCTCTGCACCTGCTCCAGCGAGTGCTCCTCCAGGTGCAGGCTGCCCTGCAGGTCGCCCTCGGGCCCCAGCCCCAAGCCCTGGCTGTCGATGATGGGGCATTGCTCCGGTTCCTTCCTCGCCTCCTCCCGCCCGCCCTGGGCGCTGCTGTGGGCCGGCTCCCCGGCTCCCTTGGTGGCCCAGGCCGTGTTCTCGGGGTAGAGCATGTCGAAGTAGTGCAGGCAGAAGGCGGGCAGGGGCTGCTCGGGAGTACCGGGGGGGCTGGGGCTCTCCGGACAGCCCCAGCCGCGGGGGTCGGGGTCCCGCGGGGGCGGCAGCAGCGCGGGGTCCGGCCAGGCGAGGCGGCCGGGGGGCAGAGCGGTCAGCCCGGGGCTGGCACTGCCCATCCCTCCGCTCAGCGCCGGCTCCAAACCTGGACAGGAGAGGAGAGAGGAGGAGAGCTCAGCCCGGCGCCGCTGCTGCCTCCACACAAAGGGAGGAACTAAGCCTGTTAGAGGGCAAAAAAACCTCCAAAGAGCCCCACGGGGCCCCGAGAGCCTCCGGATGAGTGCGGGGTCAGMCATGGCTGAGGGGGCTGGCCCCGGTTTGGGAGGACCAGCAGTGCGGCCGGCGGAGAGAAGGAGCTCAGGAGATGAGCAGGATCGGCCCCCTGTTTAGGGTCGGGGTGTTTGGGGTCTGGGGTGTTTGGGGTCGGGGTGTTTAGGGTCGGGGTCTTTAGGGTCTCCCCATGGGTTGCAGCAGCTCAGTCCCGGGTGGGAAGCACTGGGGAACACTGGGTGGGCTCAGGACAGCCCTGGGGTGATGAGGGACACAGAAACATCCAGAAAACATCCCCTGCTGCTTCCACCCGAGGGTGTTCCCGCCCAGCAGCCCCCAGCCCCAATTTCCCGCTGCAGCACTGAACCCTCGGTCACTGTTGCCAAGGCCCAGATGAGAACTTTCCCAGCAAGACAGGATAATTGCAATCACCCTCACTCTCTTGAAGGAAAAACCACCCAAAATCAACTTGTGCCCGTCTCTGTGTTCAGGCAGTTCTGGAGGCCATGGAGAAGAGGATGAACCTGCTGGATCTCCATGGTAACTCCAGGGAATGGCTCCATCTGTGGGGAAACCTCCCCAAAAACCATTCCGAGACTTTGAGAAGGGGAAGCCCCTGCCAGGGAGAAGCTGCTAATGGGCACGGCCAGGGCACTGCCCAGCTCCTCGGCCATCGCATTTCACAAGAAGAAAATGAAGAGCCGTCCCAAACTGGTGGTTTTGAAGCAGAAAAAGAAGTTTTAGCAATGGGAAAGGTKGAATCCCCTCAGGACACCCGGCAGCCCTGAAGGGGAATGGGGGCAGTGGTCAGAAAAAGGGGGTGTCCTGTTGCTCCAGAGCCCAGCTGGGGGAAAAAAGGTTTAAAAGACTTGAGAGGGAAAGATTCTGTAGGTTCCTCCAGGCAGAGCACAGCCCCCAGGCACAGGAGTGGTCAGTGAGAGGGACACTGGGAACCCAGCCCCGTGTCCTGTGCTCAGGGGGAAATCAATGCRGCTCCTGAGGATTTAGTGCTCCCAGGAATATGGATTTTGAAATTCTGCATTGGCTGCACCAGGGGAAAGCTCTGCCCATTGCTTCACCCTTGGAAAAGCCAAAAAACCTCAGAAAAACCATCGAGGAACCATGGACACCTAAATAGCACCCATGGCAGCCTGAGCCCGTGGGGACCAGGGGAGGATTGTGGATTCAGGAGCTGGAGCCCACATCCCTGAGTGGTTTTRGTGGCACTGCAGCGAGGAAGAAGAGAGAAAAGAAGGTCCCCAAACCACTGAGCTGCCCCCACCATCCCATCAGTTTCCCCGAGAGATGGTGCCTGCTTCCAAACCTCTCCTTGATTTGCTCGGGATTAAAAGAAGAGCTTTAGGAGATCAGCCCTAAATCCAGCCTCACGCTGCTCCCGGCACAAAAGGGAAGCGGYAACAGCTTGTGCAGCTCCTGCTGCACGGTGGGAATGTCTGGCAGGGGACGGGGGCCTCGTCCCTGACGCCTCTGGGATGCTCTGGGGTCACGGTGCATCCTCACACACGGAGGAGCAGAGCGATGGAACCATCGGGAACGCCGCAGGATGGACGGCCCCAGTCCCATCCCCACCCTCACCCTGCTCCCCTCCTCCCAGCCGGGACCAGAAGGACCCAATCCCTCGGGAAATGTCCCCAAAAGCCTGAGCTGAGCCCCGCCAAGGGCGCTGTACTCTCAGGGCGGGGGCCGCTGTTTGACTTTCTCCCGCTCTGGCACACAGGCGGCCGGGCTGGGTGGGACCTGTTTGCACTGAGAAGCCGCTTTAGGTCGCCTTTTCCYTCTTTTTCCCGATCCCTTTTTGAATTTCCATGGGAAAGAAGAGCCAGAGAGGCAGCCCCAGGTGCACTGGCCCATATGGCCGTACCCAAAACCCTTCCCGTTCCCCGCCCGAGCTGAGCCAGGCTGAGCTGGTCATTGCATCAGCCTTGGCAGAGGCTCCGCCGCTGCTGCTCCGCGGGCACTTCTGGCTCCACAGRGCTGGGATGGGGTGGAGRGACGGGAATGGGKTGATGGGATTGGGATGGGGCTCCTGCACTTCCAGGGCACGGAGCCAGCTCAAACCCGGGGCTGTGAGTGGGGCTGGGTCATGGCTCAGCTCCAYGGCCCTGCGGGGACCCAACCTCAGGGGGATGAGGACAGGGCTAAACACCCCCGTGTCACCCCGAGCTGTCCYGAAATGCAGCCCATCCCAGCTCGGGGTGCGACACGGGCACCAGCATGGGTGGAACGCTGGGATCAGCCCTTGGGAGCCAGAAAGAAAAAAAAAAAAAGAAAAAAAAAAATTCACCCACCCCCCACCCTCGAACAATGGGTCCGTTAATTAAAATCAAATCTGCGGTGGAACAGGTTGTGCCGGAGCGCGGCTCGGAAGCCCCRTGGGACCGGGGAGGTTGGCTCGCAGCGCCCGGGGTGTCTCCCCAGCCCCGGGCACTTCCGAAAGCCCTTCCCGGGGGTGCGGGGCCAGGGCCGGGCTCCAGAGTCACCTCCAGCCCCAGGACAGGGACGGGGACGCGCTGTGCTGTCCCAGGRGGAGCTGGGGATGAGCGGGACTCGGAGCTGTCTCAGACTGCCCGGAGCAGCCTGGATTGAGCAGGAAAGCAGATCTGGGGTCTCTGCATGAGCCAGCGCTGCAGCAGGCACCCAGGTGGGTGCCCAGAGGCTGCTGGCAATTTGGGATCCTGCCAGCACGTCCCGTCCACCCTGCAAACCCCACAGTGACAGCTGTGCCACGTCCGGCTGCCAAACCCTGTGCCACGCACCCTCCTTATCTCTGGGTGGAGGGAGGAGGAATGGCCAAAGCCGCCCCACAGCCAGGGCAGGGACTGCGGACAGAGCAGGGG